AAACGCCTTGTCCAGTTTTAGACCTGCGTCGGAAATTCACCTCACTTTATGAACTCACACTTTTGACTCCGCTGCCCATCGCCTGTTTGATTAATTATGTCCAACTTAGCGAGATGGTTATATTGCCATCGTTTGGAAGTCATAATTTTTTTCTGGCATTTCTCATAGTAGCCACTTACGACAGCCACGAGACAAAATGGGGAATAGATTCTTTACATCGAAACAACACGGCAAACTATATAATATTTTATTTAATATTTTATACGTGGTAGAGCCATGCTGCAGCTATATTACTGGTATAGTCGTAGCACGAATGGGTCGGCTGTGTTTCGTATGGTGAGTGTAGTGAACCAGAGACCTATTTTACTGGAAAAGAGACATTCCATCTTAGTCCTCACGGGTGACGATGCATCTGCATTTTGATTCTTTATTGAGGATAGATGTAGACGCCTATGGGCCACAGCAACCACTTACTATCAGATGGACTGTGGGTTCGTTTGTCACCCTATCCGAAAAAAAAATCTAAAATTTGATAAAAATATTGAACGATTGTAGATCACTCAAATTGTCCTTCTTGGTGAAGAAGTGTTGGAAAATTCTCCTGAAGAGTCCGAGAGCATCCGTAAACAGATTTCAAAAGTTTTGAGTTGTCTTGTCACTTTATTATATTTTATAATATTCTTTGTCTGCCTAATTGGTCGAGTGGTCGCAGGTGCGACAGCTGATCATAAGGTTTTTGACAAGAATATTTCAGTAGCAGCCCGGCGTCAGCAAGTTGGCAGTGTTTCACCGCGCTGCGCATGATATCTCTTCGGTTTCGGTTATGTCGGATTGCCGTTCCATCGGACTGAAAGTAAGGGAATAGAGAATGAACCTGTGCTTGCGCATACACTCGTGCACCATAATCCTGTCCATCGCATATGGCTAGTCTACGTTGAGACTGGCCGAAATGACTGACATTCGGTCTGGAAGACATTATTATTATTATTATAAGCGTAATTTTTTTAAATGCATTAAAATGTGTTTTATTTTTTCCTCATTTATCTTTATGTAAAATCCATTTCCTATTCGTAGTTTAGTTAGAATAATGGAGGAGGTATCATGACAAATTTTTGTTTTATATTGCAATAACAAAATTGCAATATAATGCAACACTTATGGGTACTGTCAACTGCATGTTGCTCGTAACATTATAACCATATACGTAAGACACTGAATAAAATGATTTTTTTTCAGGCATACTTATTCCATCGGGGAAAGGAAAACATCCACTCTTGATGTACAGGAACCAGACGTACACATACAAGGTGATGTCACATTCCGGCGTACTGTGGCACTGCTCTCGGCGCATGAGAACTGGATGCAAGGCATTCATAAGATCTCTACCAGACCGTATTGATATTATAAAAGCTATTGACGATACGCACTGTCACACGCCGAAATTAATATGCAAGGCTATTCCTGCTGACTCGATCATTATACGTCGATGAATCATATCAAGGTCAATGTCAAATGATCCATTGTATCGAAGAATGAAAATAGGTTTGCTAAGAGTTGCGTGCAAAAAAAAGTATACATTATCTAGTTTAAATAGCGCCACCTACTTCCCACTATCGTATTGCACAATCATCCTTACCACGTTCACGAATTAACCTTCTCGTCTTTCATGTTTACGATAAAATTAATCGATATTGTAATTATTTGTTTAATTTAAATTAGTGGTTACGTGATTTGTGTCATGTCTCCTTTTTGTACTACATTTTATTACATTCTTACTATAACTTCAAAAGGGCGAGGAAATCTATTAAGTCTTCAACATGATATATCTGCGTTTAATCAACCGATAAACCCGTTTTTTTTTTAATTTACTGATTTAGTATACTTCCACAGTGATTCCGTATAAGTTTTAAGTAGATCTGATAATCATTTAAGTGTATTTTTTTATTTCAATGATTTTGTACAACTTATCTTTGAAGGAAAGTTGAATTATTACGAGTATCATATTAGCTATGAAGCTAAATTGCCTGAATATAATAATAAAGCCTGTTGGAGATGATGCGTAGTGCTTACGCAAGTGTTACTACATGCATAAAATTTCATGATGTTAACACTTGCTTAGTAAGTGTGAGTGTAGTGTAAGTTTTTTAGTTGTACTCGTTTTGGCCCTTGCGTAAACACGACCTGTATGCTCCTTACTATAACTAGGTATTGTGCCCGTTTTCTATTGCCTGTGTGCAACCTCGAATGCGCAGCGGAGAGGTTTTACTTTACTTGTCAATAGCTCATGCTACATGGGATAAATTTATTGGTTTGCGTCACCGATGACCTCGACATGCTCGTGAAGTATTATAACATTACGCATATTATAACATTGAGTTTTCACTTCTGTCGGCAGTCCTTATGATTGCCTCTGTTTTTTTTTTAAATTATCGTTTCGTTTTCTATTGACCCGTTCTATAATACAAAAGAGTATAGAAGCAAGTCTAAGTTCTGTGATGTTAGTATTGTTAGCCAGTTAGCTTTTACAACTTCATTGGACTCATGACTATAATGAAAGGCCGCGAGCTATAAAAATAAACCAGGCCTTATAAGGCCTTGTTTATTTGCCTTATAAGGCCTGGTTTATTTGGTAGATAATTTGATTAATTCCTTATAAGGAATTAATCAAATTATCAAACCTCCACGCGCTTTTCGTATACATATTGATGCGACCTCATTGTTTTTCACTATCGTTTCCACAAACTTGACGCTTGTCTGTATCTGCCTACTAGACAGACACTGCCAGCATGTTTGATAGGCAGCCACAGACAAACGTTAGAACCCTGGCGCATCAAGTGCAACAGGCAATTATTTATAACTTCTTTAACATAGGTAAGTATCTTAACACTTTCACTGTCCTGTTTTCAGACAATCAGGTTTTAAGACACTAGCAATGGCCTATATGTAGTGCACGGGACAGCGAAAGGGTTAAAAGTTAAAAACCATTTTGTTTTATCATTAAATAGTGATGTATGTCCATTAAAATATAAACTATAAACAATATAAGTTTAATCGCTTTTTTTCAGTTTCTCGTAAAAGTAACTAACAACAAAAGTTGTCTTTTTTCTCATATTATGTTTTGTTTTAACACTAAAAGCTATTTGCTTTTTTTCCGTAATATAATGTTTTTAAAAAATAATTATTTTTACGAAACGTATTAAAAACTTACTAAAATAATTTTAGTTTATTTAGTGGATAGTGTCCATTAATATTTAGAATAGTGTATTAGGTGCTAAAAATAGGTAATATAACTATTTTAGGATTTTCTATTGAACGGAGACACCGCTCAATTCCACATCAATTTCTTATAAAAACCCTAGAACTAGATCCTTACTAGACTACCTTATTAGAATTTTTTTACTAAATTCACCTATAGTTGGAAATAATCCGTCTGGACATCAACATTTATTAGAATTTTTTTAAATAAGAATATTCCGAATTTTTGGTTTAATGAGAGTTTTTTAAAACTTATTTTAAATATTAAGCTTTTGATTAATTATTAACTAACACAGGTTAAGACTATTAATATGTATATAGTTTATGTTTTTACTAATGCCTTTTAATGCCGATTAAATACCATTTCACCTAATTTTTTTGTAATAATAAATTTGATAGAAATAAAATATACGCACACAATAGTGTTTTATTTCATATCAATTAAATACATTCGGACTTAACAAAACGAAGTTAATTATAGTTTTAGTTATAAAATATGGATTATGAAGAGCTTTAACTAAAGAAGTCCGTTAGCTGCGGAGCCACAGTCTCCAAGAAATTAGACATTAGCTGGCAAATCTCATTCTTTACAGTTTTAGTTTTCATATTTTACACGAATTTTTTTTAAATATACTCTGGTTAAAATCTGAAACTAATTATCAACTAATTTACGCAATAAGACGGTTTAAGATTAAGTTATAAACCGTTATTGCTCTACATGATATTGAGTACTACTGTAAAGTTTAAGTAAGAAATTATGTTGAACTTGGATGAAAGTAGCCATCTGCATCCATTGCAAACGAATATACAAACTACATGTTACATATATACTGGTTTTTTACCCTTCTCACCACTGTTGCTTAGCGATAGGAATGGATGAGAAGATAGTTTCTATCTGGATGGATTATTAGGCAAAAGGCGAGACATACTACTTAGTGAAGTTAACCTATAAGCATCTTTTTTGTAAAAATACTAGTTCAAAACAATTTTAATTTACTGTATGTGGCCAGAGCAAATAATGATTGCGAATAATCGCAAAATTATTTTTGCGTCATTTTGATATAAGTGTAACAGTAAAATTCTGTCGAGTTAGACCTAACTTACCCATGCATACGTATTGTAGCTAATTTCATTAGTATAGTTGTAGCACGAATGGGTCGGCTCGACCGGGGAAGGACAACGCTTTCACAGAATACAAGCGTAAAATAGCAGCTTAACGCTGCTGTTTCGTTGGTGAGTGTAAAGAACCAGAGACCCTTTTTTGGAAGCGAGGCATTCCATAGCTCACGTGTGACAGCGTGTCTGCATTTTGATTCGTAATCGAGGATAGATGTATATGTCTATGGGCCGCAGCAACCATTTACCATACGGTGGACTGTGTGCTCGTTTGCCTCGTGTGTCCTTATCATATAAAAAATATTGTAGCCATTCAAAAATGTCCGCTGAACATAGGCCTTCCCATAGATTTCCTCATGGGGGGGAGGATCTTCCATTAGTTGCCAAGCTTGGCAGGTGGGTTACGAAGATACTACTGGATCTCATTTATCATGTTACATTTCTCTCTGTCGTATGCCTACTTTGTAGATTGTAGCTACTTGCCATAAAACATATTTTAATTCATATTTTTCAGAAGCGTCAAAAAAAAATAATCAATGGATCCATATTATTTGCATTTAACTGTACATCAAGGAATACTGTTATAAATAGCATAAGTATTCACACGATTCTCATTTGTAGATATCGAGATGATACCGGGGAGGAAGCACGCATGTCTCATGTTTCACGGTTATACCTTCAAAAGATACCAGCTCCTCGCGAACGGTCAAGTGAGGTGGAGGTGTTCCAAGTGGCATTCCGGGTGCAGAGTGTCTGTGAAAACTAATACCATAGATCCAAGAGATGGCATCGTTTTGATTGAAAATCTACATAATCACGAAAGGCCCAAACTAATTCGAAATAGTGATGGATATCTGATGAAAGCACAAGTCAAATCCAGTGTCTAGAGTTTAATTCACAAATAAAGTTTTCTACATATTATGATTTTATCATGTCAGAAAAATTTAAGTTTTAATATACGAATGCATAATTTGAGACCTCTTCTAGTATAATTTGTGCGCAACCAATGTCTGTTTTCATATTTGTAGAATATCAAAAATGCTAATAATTCACCTGACGGTAAGTGGCTACCCAATTTCAGAATAAGAAAGCCACTGATATGGTGTACTAGTTACTTCATCTTGGTCTTTAGGCATAGCTAACGACTGACGATCTAACTTATGCTAAATGACAGAAAAGGCTACTCAGACGAATTTACTAAACAGAAAAAGCATCCTACCACCTAGAAACTTTTAATGCAATATTCCCTGTTCAGTATTTTTTTTGTTTTTTTTTTTTTAATTCTATATTGATACACCTACGTCAAATTCTCTACCACTCTATGGGTTGACTAGTAGAGAATGCCTGAAGGCATTAAGTCCGTCCGTTTGTATTTTTTTGTTCTAAGGAATGCAATAAAATATTGATGATATGATTTCTTTACTGGCTTACTGGCGTAGCATAATAAAAGTTTAAATAACAGAATCTGATTTATTACACGGAACCTTATTTATATTTCTAAAATATGACCTTTACGTTTTCACAGTTGCATAAAATTTGAGAGATCATCAATGTCTGACTTACTTTACAGTCTATATAGGTATACATTTAGGCTAAAGTATGAGGGACTCGGTCGTAAAGGGCACAACGAGAATTATCTCAAATGTGACCCTGTAGGTTTTGACCTACTAATGTCTAAGGCACTACCAATCTTGATAAATTATAGGTCGTTTAGTTATTGTCTGGTATTTGAGTGACAATCTCACTCAAATCGTACTGGCTGGCGACTGGTCTGGTGCCAAATGCTCTGGACTTCTACTCGTTGCGTCAGTTACTACGACACAGCATTGGCTCTCAAAATAAAAATAAGATTTTTTTTAATTCTCTTTTTTTTATCAATCCATAATCAATCATGGGCTTTACTGACATGCACATTTGAATGACATGACTGTGTTTTTGCTTTGCAGTAATAATCGTCGTTTGTTCCATACTGTAGGATTAATATTGGGTTTTGTTTTCAGAAATCACGTACTTATCGACTGGAAAAAAATATCCATTATTGGTCTGCAACGAATATGTTTACAAGCGTATAAGAGTGAACCGTCATACGGGACACATTTTTTGGAGATGCGTGATGATACACAAAGGTTGCAGAGCGTATTGTCTCGCGAGCGATGATGAAATTGTATGCAAAAATTCTCACAACCACGATGCCCCAAAGTTTAGAACAAGTACAGGTCGATGGATCATGCCATAGATAATGTCCAAAAGTTTTGAAACGAGGACTGTCCGATGAATCATGCTATAGATACATGCAAAGGAAAGATCTATACAAATAAATAAAATTGGAGTGTCTGTTTGTAACGTCAAAATAACAGGTTTTCACTAAATGCATATGAAAGTATATATGGTACTTATAACAAAAACGCAATTTTTTAAATTTTTGTCTGTCTTTCTGTCTATCCGTCTGTCTGTCTTTTTGTTCCGGCTAATACCCGAAACGACTGGACCGATTTTGATGGGAATTTCACTGGCAGATAGCTGATGTTATAAGAAGTAGCTTAGGCTACTTTTGTTTTAGAAAAAGAATTAGGGTACCGCGCAAAAAAATTAAAAATGTAAATTATACGCGAGCGAAGTCGCGGGGTACAACTAGACGAAAATAAAATGTTAAAAATTCTCATACGGCGCGTGTAATCACAAGACTGGATCAGTCGGTAACTTCAAAGGCGCGGTGCGGTGCGAGCGCACTTGTGGCAACTTTACCGCGCAAGGTGACTTAACGGGGAGCATAACCGTAAACAAGTCGTTTGTACATTTTGTTTCGGCTCGGGGATCGCGTATGTATAGAGTGGACGAATGAAACAATTTAAGAATGTTCAATTGTATAAGATAACGAACCGGCTATAAGGAACTCGCGTGCCATTCTGTCATGGTGATGCGGTGCACCGAGTCTAATGCGTGCCGCGTTATGAGTACGTGGCGCGTGGGTTCGCCTGTGGTCACAGAAACTAGGTCTCTGGCTGTGACGCGTGCTCACTCAATACAAATCGGCTCGGTGCAACGCGGGTGATATCACGCACCGGGAGAAGCCACCATATTACAGAATTTAGTTCGGTGCCTATTGTTTATAATTTGGATTCGAATAAAACTTTGGTTGTATTATTTATTACATAATAAATGTACTGAATATAAATAAAGTTATGTAAAATTCTCATTTTTGTTTAAAATAATATTTTTTATTTAATTTATATTTTGTGTAAATAAAACTAACTTTACGAATTTTATTAAAAACGTAAAATTAGTTATTATTTGTGTTTTTAGTTTGAGATATTTTGAAGTCCTAACGTCATAGTTAAACCGGGCTACCTCCGGGTATGATTAATAAGAGTCGTGAGCACAAAGTGACCATGACTGCTAGCGGATGGCACATGAAGATCCTACTTCACCTAGGAATTCTATAAATCGACTAGTGCGGCAGGTCTAAGTTGTGCTGGCGATTCGTGCCGCTATCCATATTTCTATTATTTATTCTTCATTTCTAGACCAGACCGTACTAATAATGCTTAAATAATTGTAACTGGAATAAACACTACATACATATATTGAAAAATTATTTACTTTGAATAAAACTAATAAACAGTTAATGCCTCCACAGTGCGTCTCCTGCCATCAAATCAAGGCATACACCCGCTCCTCATGTTCAATAAATACACCTTCAAGATGCAATACAAATTCGTATCGGGCAAGATTTTATGGTACTGCTCAAGCCGAAACAAGGGATGCAAAGCCTTTGTCAACAGCATGGGAGGAAACTTCGTGTTTGGTGATAAGGAACATACCCACACTCCACCGCATTATTTCAGAAACATTGATGGTAGTTGGGTAAGATCACGTCATAGATAAGTCGTATACAATTTTGTTACACATTAAATTTTGCTATTAATTATTCAAATGTTTTATTTTTCATACAACTTATCGATAAAAGTGGTTGATTCTTTCTGACCAAGAATCACTCTGGTTTCTAGTTCCCCAAAGTAAAGTGCGGGTTTGATACCTATATAAAACACACATCGGTTTTCATAGAAGGGGAGGCATACGGCTTACCTGATGGTATTGTGGGCCTTTAAGGAAGAATCAGGCTTACTTATCGACGGTCCCTAAGCCAAATCGTTTTGTTAAAACTACTGTCGACATTAAATTTCATAGTGTGTTCAAACGTGGCAGAAAATTTCTGAAGAAACGCACGGTGAAAATGCAAAGAGATATAGGATTTCTTTGCATGGCCAGTATATTAAGCAAATCTGAGAGGACTTGGTCGTCGACGATTCGGACCGCTGTCCGTTGAATGCGTTCAAGTGAAAGGAGCTGGTACCAGGCTATCGGGATACACACCCATGCCCAGTTCAATGAGATAAAAACCCTCTTGCTATGAACTCCAGTAACCACTTTAATCGGGTACACTGTAAGTTATTACTTTTATCACGTTCACTTTAATTTTATTCAAAAGATATTTCCTTATGGGCCTCATAGACTTTGTTATTTTCAATATTTTATAATGTATTTCCTATATTTCATATATGTCTGTCTTTGTTAAGGTCCTTCACTTGTTAATACTCTCGAATGTCGTAAAAAATTTATAAATATTAATTTTTAGACGCTATTCGTTTTTTGAATTGTCATTCGTTATTTGAAATTGTGTGATTGTTAGATGGTTCTTTTAATAGAAACATTATTTGTTTGTGCAAATAAATTTTCATCTAAAATAATCTTTTTCAGTGTTCCTACTCCCTACTCTTAAGGGTATACATCCTTTATTGATGTTTAATCAATATACATACAAAAGACAAAAGCAGTTTTCTTCAGGAAAAGTTTTATGGTACTGTTCGAACAGGGGAAAGGGATGCAGAGCTTTTGTGCATAGTGCGGAAGACAGATACGTTTTTGGTAACATGGAACATGATCATGAACCTCCGAAATATTTCAGAAATAGTCAAGGAACTTGGTGTAAAATCTAAGGCGTCGTCCTGATACAATGCGCTTACGCGATCATCGCGCGAGTAAGCGATACGAGCACCGCGTACTCGCGCGATATCAAAAACTGGGTGTCCTAATAGAACGCGAATGCGCGAATGTTCCGCTTCGCTTCGCAGTTTGCGCATAGCATTGGCGCTAAGGATGGACGTCAGAAACGCCCAGTTTTTACTTTCCGGAAGTATATGGATGACCTACTCTGCTGGTCTTGACAGCAATGAAAAAAAAACGAAATGGATCACAATGTGCTTTGTTGAAAATTAGACCGATACGTGGTGGTGGTGGTTCACAATCAATATAGGTTGGGTCCCTGCACTTCACCCCGCTTCCCGACGACACGACGACACATCGCGCGAATGTAAATTAGGACACATATTCGACAGTAATATTTTTGATCGCGCATTCGTACGAACTAAGTTCGCGCGATTAGATTTTCACCCAATTAAGTCGTGCGACCCCATCGCGTGAAAGCCAATCAGGACGCCTATTCGAAATCAGTATATTTGATCGCGTGTTCGTACGATTAAAATTCGCACGAACTTGCGATGATCGCGCATTCGCGTTGTATTAGGACGACGCCTAAGTTTTTAAGTTAGTCTAGTGATAGTCTTTACCAGTCAATTGATGTGTTTTTAAAATATAAACAAACATTTTGTAAGTATATTTTATTTTATTCATTCATCCATTCATTATTGCCTATCAAAAGTCCACTGCTGAACATAGGCTTTCCATATAAATTGCCTCATAGGAGGATATTTGCTATTGTTTTATACGTAGTAGAGCTACGCTGCAGCTATATTATGGTTCTTAGCTCGACCGGGGTAGCACCACGCTCCCACAGAATACCAGCGTAATGCTGCTGTGTTTCGTATGGTGAGTGTAGAGAACCGGAGACCCTTTTTTTACTGGAAACGAGGCATTCGACCTTAGTCCTCAGGGGAGAAAACGCATCTGTATTTTGATTCTTAATCTATACAAATAAATAAAATTGAAGTGTCTGTTTGTAATGTAGAAATAACACCTTTTTACTATACGCATATGAAAGTATATTTGGTACTTATAACAAAAACACGATTTTTAAAATTTTTGTCTGTCTTTCTGTCTGTCTGTCTGTTTGTTCCAGTTAATCTCCGAAACGGCTAGACCGATTTTGACCGGACTTTCAATGGCAGATAGCTGATGTTATAAGGAGTAACTTAGGCTACTTATATTTTACAAAAAGAATTAGGGTTCCACGCAACATAATTAAACCCTAAATTACTCGCGGGCGAAGTCGCGGGGAACAGCTAGTTGAGGATAAATATAGATGTCTATGGGCCACAGCATCAGGTGGACTGTATGCGCGTTTGTCATCCTTATTATATAAAAAAAATTACCACGCTTGCAAACGTGTGGGCAATTACACTATTTTTAAATAAAACTAATTTTACGGATTTTATCGCGTATATTAACTTATTTTTATATTCCCGACGTTTCGGGTGCTTTCCAGCACCCGTGGTCCCGAGGGACACCTCAGTTTGACGTCCTGCTGTCATAGTTAGCCCGGCTACCTTCAGTTTTTTAATATTAATTTTTGGTTCGATTTACGCAGAATGAGCTTACAGTATCTTGAAGTCTAGCAGTGGTATACTTGGGTTTGGATTTGATTTTATTAATTATGGGATCCCATATATATTAATAAATTGTCTGAATCTTTACTGTAAAATGTTCGATGCAACTTACCGTATCACCTACGCGGAATTTATCGGTTTTGTGCTCACCAATCTGCCCAGCACGATGATTATGAGCAAAGCTTGCAATTGCATGCTAGGTGGTGTATATTTTGAAAATACTTAGGTTCAGCAGCGGGCGAAATGAAAAGAAATGCCGCCAATAATATAGTTTAAATCAAACATTCCATTAGTTCTTTAGATATTAATGACACTGTAGCTCATACTGGCGCAGCAACGAAAACAATCGCTTATGCTTATCAATGCTTACATTTTTAAAAAGAGTCAAAAAAATTAGTTCTAGAATTGCTCCAATCGATACAATGGGTGCAAACAATGAAAAACACAAGGTAAAGCATACAACCACGCACCGCCATATTACATTAGATGTCTAAAAGGTTGTTATATTCATGTTTATATTCACATTGCAGCATATCTACTACCATCTTCTAGAGGAAAACATCCCATACTCATGATAAATCACTACACTTATAAAAGACAACGCGAGTGGGTTTCAGGGAAAACTATATGGTATTGCTCCAAAAGAAAAAATGGATGTAAGGCTTTCGTCCAGAGCTTCGACGAGAGATACGTGCTTGGACCTATAGACCATACCCATAAAGCGTCTAATTTTGTGAGAGGTTTAGATGGTACTTGGTATAAAATACCGAACTCATAGCTACGGTTTAGAAGTGAAACTACTGGTCCAAGAAAATTAAAAAAAATTGATCCCAATTTTACTGAAAATTGTTTTATTATTAAAAAACTGCGATATATTTAACTTATAGCAGTGGGCTGTGAAAAAATAAAGATCTTACTTATTATGTTTTTCATTTGTAATAAAAATAACATGCTATTTAAGTTTCTAGTGACCTTGCGAATTTTTTGTGAAATATGATTTTTATTCATTACGAAATCGTACTTACTATGACACTGTGGTTAATATTAATATGTAGTGTGATAGTGGGTACTATTTCAATATTATATCTTATAAGAACACAAGGCGGCCACATTTATAACATATAAGAAACTGCAGTCGTCGTGTTCTAAAATGCTAAATTCAGCGTAAATAGGTTACTAACAATTGGTTTTTTCTTTACAGTATTCTACAGGACTTCGATGAGAGGAACGCGTCAACTCGTTGTTGACGGGTACTCGTTCATCTGCCGCAGCTACTGTTTAAACCACGTCAAGAAGAATTGGAAGTGTGCGACCCACGCCGACTGCACGGCCAAAGTGCACACTGTCAACGACGAAATAATAATTTTAAACAATGACCACAGCCACCCAGTAACCTCTATTGAGTGGAAACTGTCCCCCTATGTAAACGTAGACAATTAATTTGCATAACAATGTATTACAATTGTGGTTTATAGTAAATTAGTAAATAAGTTAATAATCTATGCTTTATGTGTAATTTGCTAAATAAAGAAATCGTCTGTATTCATATATTATTTTTATTTCACTTATTTGTCGTTTCATCGAATGTTACTTTCCATACAAATTTAATTTTAATCAAGAAAAGGACACAAGACACAATATGATCTGATTAATATTTATTAAAGACACGAAATTTATTTCGATGTAAGGTCTTTAATGTTTAGTTTTAACATTTTTATCAGCAACTAAATAAAAGAGAAAACACATGAAGTATTTTCATTATCCCACAATTAAGCTAAATGTCCACCGCAAACTAAACTAACTTAGTTTATCTTAGCTCGCATAGCTGGGCCAGTTTTTCCATGCCAGCTAAGCTAGGTGAAATATCCAAACTAAGTCAAACTAAGTTAGTTGTATATGCCGATCCGAAACTACGGAAACTGAGCTAAGCGCCTCTCACCCCCTTACCTTAACCCTCTGGCGCCTTTCGCTTAGTGTTGTTTGTTTTAGCTTATTTTTTGGTGTACGTGCAACGGTTAGCTTAGTTTAGTTCACTGAGCCTAGTTTTCACATAGTTTAGTTCGCGGTGGACGTTCGACTTTGCACTTATAACATAAAATTTATTTTTCGAGTGTTAACAGAGGAATTGAAGTATTTATGTCTTGTCTGTTTTCCAGATTCTAAAATATTTTTCTCTGTATCACAGAGAGGTGGCAATATTCTACATTTCAATGGCTACACGTTTAATCAACGCCATAAATGCGCCGGAGAGAGAACGACATGGTGCTGTACAAACTACTATAATACTTTGTCCTGTCCTGTCAAGATTAAAACAATAGGTTTGTCATCGGAAATAATTTGTATCAAAGGAGAACATAATCATTAAATTCGCCATTGTTTAACATCAGGGGTACCATTGAATAGTATTTTATTTTATCTGTTGTTATTTTGACCATTGTCATCATAAGGTTAATCTCTAGTCACTAGTTAACATTGCCTCTCATCTATTCTTAATATTTAATTGTAATTATCTCTCTTAATCTATTGTTTTATTTTTTTTACTAGTTTTTCGCCATCTTAAAGCTATATAAACGTACAATTATTTATCTTCTGCCGTACAATTATTTTTAGAAATTATGATTGATGAATAATTTATTTTATTATAACTAAACTAAGACCTCACGGCCAATACCCTTTATTCTAAATATAAATTTCATATTTAAAAAAGAAACTTTTCAACAAGTTTGTAAATCCAATCGTTTCCGTCTAAAAATAATAAAAATGTTTTCAACTCCGTCAAATTGAATTTCTCTATTAAGCCCTCTATTAATATTAAGTGATAGTAAGTGAACGTCCGTTGTTCTACCTTTATGCTTTGTAACATTTTAGCTTTGGCTTCGTTCTTGGAGATACACTTACTGCTAAGAGACATTTATCAACATGCATTACATATTAGAGATAAATTATACCATCGTTTTTATCACTTATGCAATTTTCTGTTAGAGAATATGCGTTTGCATTAAATAATTCCTTTGTATATATGCTATGTACAATTTATTCGAATAAATGTGTAGTTATAAGTCTGCTGCTGTAAAGAGACCTTTCTAAAAAATATGCCAACAGTTTTATGCTGTACATGCTGGTTTTGGATTCTGAGTGTTATAAGATAGGTTTTCACCATTCAGTAGTGATCAATTCATTTTACAAAAAGACTTTAGCTAGAAATGATTAATATCCACATCATCTCGATAGTAGGCAATCCTCCACCGTGCGTTTATCCAGAAATTTTCTACCACACACGATCACATTGAAAAATCTACTTTCACCAGTATTTCCGAGTCGATACGGCGTAGGGCCGAAGAGCCTACGCTTTTCTAAAAGGCTGGCAAACGCATCTGCCGTCATTTTAGTGTTGTCGAAGTTTATGTAACTTATTGTGTATAGTAGGCGGTGATCATTTACCATCAGGTGAGTCGTTTGTTCGTTTGTCTTCTCTTCTATAAAAATAATGATGTATGCAATTACGCATATAAATATTGTAGTAGTCGTAGATGAAATTATAATTCATTATTGTGTTATCTGTAAATATGTATATTAAGACATTGTAGCCGTTCTTTTAATGTATATAATCTATGGTAACGTTGTACAGCTGTTGTTAAGGTTATCGAATGTTGTTGAAATGTAGCCATTAATAAAATCCAAGTGCCTAAAACTAAGGGTTTTACTTTATAAATACCCAATATTTACTACAAATTGACCGTGTACTTGCGGTGCAAGAATATTCCACTACCCTATATAATCTCGTGGGTTTCATAAGAGGCGACAGACGGAACCTTTTTTTTATTACATTTAATTATTTTTTTTTATTTCCCACAGACATTTTATATTGGTCGCACAATTTTATAAATTTTTGCACACTGAGCGTGGAGAAACAATTTACGCTATTTGATACGTAATTGTCTTCCACTCTCTATTACTTTCTATAAACTTTAGTGGCACGTAAAGCATATACAAAATCAACAACAATAAAAACTAATAGCAGTTGCAACTGCGTACTACAATTAACATAGTAACAATATAGACATTTTATATTTGGTTATGTTATAAAAATCCAACATTTTGAAGAAAAAATTTACTGTATTTAATTTATTTACTACAGATGTAAAAAGTCTGATTTGCGCAATTGTCTAAATTGTGAAAAGTTTTTAAAGTAGTAACAATAGTGTTCGTTTTGAACTTTACTTTTTAATACTTTTATAATAATTCACTGATAACATTGGTCCGTGATTTGAATTTACAATTAAATTCACTGATTTTGCTATCACTTTTACACGTTTCTACGTAATAATTGCACTTTCATTATTTCCAATCTTTATTTTTATACGTAGTGATGTTTTCCGTCGCATTGTAATGCCTCCTCCTTGTATGTCCTTATTATGAGACTATATTTTTCAACACAAGTATCGTATATTTCGTTATTTTTTTCCTAAGTTGTATCTCTTATTATAACATCTCAGCGTGGTGATTAATAAGATCCTAGACTGCTATGTGAGAGGTCCATGGCCACAGACATATTTACAATCAGGGTGATTGATACAAAGTGAGGTTCATGAAATTTGATCATGGTTTCAAAAATTGGGCTAAATTAACCAATTAATAATTTGCTGTAACAATCTCTAGATAACGTAATTGTATTTTTAATAATTTTATCAAAAAGTATAGATTTGTTGTTACGGGTGCTATGAATAAATAGCTATACATAAAAAAATTGTAAGTTAGACGCCACGTGGCATGCAGATGATTGAAGAGGCCGGCTGCTTTGGCGGAAACTTGCGCTGCCTTCAAAGAGTTTTAGTTACGCCGTGCGGCATGCCGCGACACGTACTTGTCAATTTCGCGTGGTCTCACAGAAATGTGTACTTTCTCAATAGTAAATATGTTTTTTTATCCTTTCGCTATCATAAAATGTGCTTGCCGTGTATCGTCGTGTCATATCCCACTGTGAGCTGATCTTTAAAGTTTTTACAAAATGTTACATTTTTAGGTCAATTTATAAACTCATCGAAAGGAGGAAAACTTATTTTGATTGACGGACACACCTTTCATCTTTCGTATAAAAATTTTGGCCGGAGCTATTGGCGCTGTTCAAAACGTATGAAGGAATCTTGCAAATGCTCTCTACGTATTGTTAACGGACAATTATCTATCGCAGGAGCACATAGCCATTTGTAAATTATATTTTAAATAAGGTGTGACTACAAAAATAATTTTAAACCTTTACATTATTTTTGTTTTCTTTGAGCGACGTTGTAATTATAAATAATTTATTAAATAATTTTATAATTTGAATACACTTAAGAATTCGCTGATACGTTGTCTTATTATTCTTGGTGATCTTAATGAGCATCTCGGAGAATTATTTTATAATGAATTATCCAATTTCTGTGAGGAGCGGAGCTGACTCTGTGCAGACGTGGTCCATTTAAAAATAACATCAGACACATACACTTATATAAGTGACATTAAAAAGGACTGCCGAAGATGGCTTGATCACTCTAGTAACAGAGGCAGCCTGACAATGTGTATTAAATTGTAAGGTATGTATGCTTTGATGTTTATTGGTCAGATCAGATCATTTTCCACTGGAAGTTGATTTTAAGATAGGTAAGCTGCCATTTAAAACGCAATATAAAGTAAAATATTTTAACAAGGTGAAGTGGGGCGAGAGGGGCGTCGGTCAGATTAATATATAATAGACATATTTTATATATATTAATATATATATATATATATATATAAAATATGTCATAATAATTTAAGAAATATTGATTATCCAGTAGAATTTAGGTTTTGTGTTGTATAAAAATATTGTTTATATCTTAAGAGAAGCTGCTGAAACTAGCTATGAGATAAGAAAGCGTACTAAACACAAACTAGTTGATGGGTGGAATAGGTACGTAATGGAGGTACATCGGGAGGCACGATGCAGTTTCCAAATGTGGTTGCTGTATAGTAAGCCCAGTGCGGGATATGTATATGACTGAATGCGAGAAGCTAGGAGATGATTTAAGTCAAAGCTTAAATGGTGTCAAGACAATGAGAACCAAATAAAAATGGATATCTTGGCCACTCACCACAAAGAAAAACCCTGGAAAACTGCTTGAAACTGCTTCATGCTTACCTGAGAGTGTCGATGGTAGCAGTGAGCCCCATCATATCGCAGAAGTTTTTAGGGAACACTTCGAATTGGGATCTCCATTGGGACCGGCGTAGCGGGTGCTCGATATTGAGGCGAAATTGTGCAGTGAATTTGCCAGATTTACTGCGAAAGAAGTCGCAAATGTTATAAATAATATGACACGTGGTAAATCACCTGGATATGATGACCTCAGTATTGAGCACCTGCAGTACGCGGGAGTTCATCTGCCTAGGGTATTGACTATGCTCTTTAATGTGTGTATAGGGCATGAATACTTACCTCAAGAACTTATGAGGACCATAGTGGTACCAGTTCTAAAGGTAAAGAATAAGACCGGGGATGCTGCCGACAAGAACAATTATAGACCGGTTTCGCTAGCTACGTTTGGCGTACTGCCAAACGTTTTACATCTGCAGCCTTTGTGTGGGTCAAGTATACTCGCATATCTGTAAATGCTCTGCGTGTTCAGTACAATAATAGCTTTAGGATGCTGATGAGGCTGTCTCGATATTGCAGCGCATGTTTGTTGAGGCTAACACGGACGGCTTTGATACTATAATGCGAAAGAGAGTGGCCTCCCTGATGCGACGCGTGAGAGACAGTGCCAACGGACTCCTATGTACTGTATTAGGAAGGCTTCATTGTCCGGTTGTGCGGCACTGGAGCACTGTGCATATTAGGTCCAGAGCTGTTATGTTTAATATAAAATAAGTATTGTTGTTTTTAGTTGTATATTTACTAACATTAATTTTAAGTTTATTTTATTTATTACTAACAAACTATGGAGCTTTTATCTGAAATAAAATTATTATTTTCGGAAAGTGTTTTTCACTTCTCAGTCCTTAGACTGGAATTCAATGTGGTGTGTATTTTTATGTATTTTCATGAGATCCTATTTCGATTTCTTCTATCTGCATGAATTTCCTAACAATTCTGCATGTATTTAATATAGCAGCTTTTTGCAGTGTAATGTAGAGGGTTTCTATTAGGTCTAATAATGTTAAGCTATGGAGGAGGATTTGGGATTACGCCTGATGTGGAGAGGACTATAGGAACTACATATACTTTTTCTTGTCGCCAGCTTCTAAGTCACTTCATCTTTGAGCCCCGCTTACTTACTATTTTTTTTTCTGTGATTGTCTTCTGTATGTTGTATGTGTTGGGGACTGCAATATCTATCAGGTTAGTAATTGTATTTATTTTGTCTTGTAGGATTATATCTCTGGTCTGTTATAATGGATTGTCCTATCAGTAAGAATGGCGGGGTCGTAAAAAGCTTATGTGCGGTATTTTCTAGAGTAACTTTTGGTGTATAATTGTAGTAAGGAGTGTTGGTATTTTTAATGAGTGCGTGTTTGAGTGAAAATTATTATTATTATTGACAATCGTTATTGTAATTGTATGTTAGAACAAATTTATTTTATTTTATTTAAATTTTATGAGCTGGAACTTTTTTATAGAAATTGTAACTACTTGCAATACTAGATTGATTAGACTATGATAGTAAATTAAGCTTAAACTTGCAGTTGCGGGAGCTAAAGTAATTCTATATATTTTTAAACTTGCAGGAAAAACTATGGAATTCACTAAACGTTCTTCATTATACATGATGTGTATACGGGCATTTCTCCACTAACTGGGCAACACAGTGTCTCGCATGATTTTTGTTACGAAACTTTTATAAACCGTTGCAATGTTCAACTTAGAATAAAAAATATTTTTCTTATCATTCTTTACTTATTTAATAAATATCAAAAAACATTTGCCTGGGTGGTCACCAATTCAAAATACATTTTCCAGTCAATTATTTTAAATGAATGTAATTGCAAGTCCTCCGTCAGCAGTCCCCTGCTTTAAACAAACACAGTGCAGTGGACTGTTTGCAATACCAGAGGACTGACTTATATGTTTATGTGTGTTGTTTGTTTACAGATACAAAATGGCCCCTCAAAAAAAAGAAACTTACGAGAGAACAGACACTTGAGAAAAAAAGAGAAGCAGAACGTCGACGTTACGAACGAATAAAAAATGATCCAATAAAAAGGCAAGAAATGAAGGAAAGAGAACATCTTAATTATTTGAAGAAGAAAGAGAAAGGTAGTAGAAAATTAGTAAAAGATATGAATCTGCTAGAACATAGAAAAGTAAAAAAACAATGGCGCGAGTATTGCGCTAAATATCGCAATAAAAAAAGCATTAAAGTACATCACCAACTTATTTGTCAGAGAAAATACACCGTATTCCGAAGAAGAAAGAAATAATGAACAGATAAATTAATACGGGGATATTGAGACACAGTAATAATGATCATAACTTAAAGGATATGCGAAAGAAGTGCAGGAAGCGGATTAGAAAAAAAACTTTGAAGGAAAAGAATGAAAAGATTTCTGAACTAAAGAAGGAAGTTGAAAATTACAAGAAACGGTTGTCAAGATTAGAAAACCTCGTCAAAATCTGACATTTATTTAAAAATAATAATAATAAAAATAATTTATTTCAAATGTCGGACGCCCCAGATACTCGAAAAGAATTAGTCAAAAAAGCAACATTTTGGCGAAGTTATTAAAGAGCAACTGCAAAAGAATTATTGTGCGCAAACAACACAGAGAGAAAACACGCTCTTAGGCGAGTAGTCTCTGGAAAAATTGTCAAAAAATATAAGTTATGGAGGATCAAAAATGCAGGTATATTGTCATATAAAAGAGTGACAAAAGCTGATACTGACTTGAAACGGTTGAGAAAAGATAGAATATCTGACGGAATAATAATACAGGTTGTTAACTTTTACGAAGATGATTGTAATAGTAGACAAGGGGCGGGGAAAAAGTAATTTATATCAAGGTAGAAACAGAAAATACAGAAAAGGTATCTTCTTGATTCCTTGACGAGTCTATATAAGAAATTTAAGACGAATAGCACCATCAATTTGAGTTATCAAACATTTTGTCGCCTCCGTCCTTTCTGGGTAGTGATGCCTAAAGTTGATGATCGTGAGACATGTTTGTGTATTGTACATGCCAATATAAACTTTTGAAAAATGGCTGTTAGAGAGGCAGACATATTACGATGAAAAAAGGAAACACTCCCGGCAAGTTATTAAGTATGTAAAAAAAGCAATAAGTGATAAACCACGTAACCTTATTCAAGATCTGTAAAATGATTTGGAGTTGTTCTTACTTCATGAGAGAAACATAGTACATCAATATCAATCTTTAAAAAAAACTAAAGGATAATCTTATTGATGGAGATGCAATTAATTATACAAATGGAGTTTTCTGAAACTTATTCAACTAAATATAGACAGGAAATACAGGCGTACCAATTTGGAGGATCTCGTATGCAGATAACTCTTCACACGGTAGTGCTTTACCTAAATAACTCTACGAAATCATACTGTACCGTTTCCAAAAACAACTCTCATTCGCCAGCAACTATATGGACTCATCTTCAAAAAATATTTTAAGTTTTACCAAGGCAAATAAGTATCTTCACTTTCTGAGTGATAGACCGGTTACGCAATACCGTAATAAGGCTATGTTTTACATTTTGGCTACAAAATTACACAAGCGACTTCCAAACGTACAACAGTTTTCATGGAACTATTCTGAAAGTGGTCATGGAAAAGGAGCTCCCGATGGGACTGGAGCAACATCTAAGAGAACTGCTGATTCTGTGGTAGCCACTGGTGGAGACATCCAAGATTAAATTATACTCATAGTTATTATCTGAACTTAGCAAATAAAAAGTAAGCAAAAAGTCATAATGGCAAATAGATTAATAGATTTTCAGTTTTCTTTTCAAATCACTAACAAAAGTTCATTTTAGTAACACAAAAAAAGTTTTTTCTTAAAAAAACCAGCCCATTAATAAAGGCTTGGTATCATGCTGCATATGAACTAACGTATTTCCTTTATTTTTTACTTTATTTAAAATTACTTCATTGGATAATTCGAACAAAAATATCGTAGAGACATTTTTCAGTCTAAATGACCATGTTAGTAGAGAAATGCCCATACATTTTTGATCAAAGTCTCACGGAAATAGAAACTTATGTTCTTACACGCTGCAGAGGCTGATGCAGTAAAATAAGTATTGTAGAAGCTACTGCCGCTATTCAAGCTAAGCAAAAACAGTGCTAAATTTCTAATAAGCAATTTATTTAAATTATTGTAATGAAATACGTTTATAATCTTTACCACGAATACTATTTTTATATAAAACACATTTCCTGCACATAGTAATATCCGCATAGTCGTTTTAGTGGCATTTAGTGGCAGTAGGACTTCTTTTCTGACCATCAGGTGTACTGTAAATTCGTTTGTCACTTCAATTTTATAAAAAAAATGTTATTTCAAGTTGTTTATTTATTTTTAACCTAAATAAAAAACTGAAAGTTATCGGTGTCAATAAATTTTGTTCTTGTCTTCTTTCTTCTTTTTTTTGTTGCCTTTAACAGTTGACTGTTAAATAAAAGTGTCTGGAAAGAATATGCCGTTATCTTTGGTAAGCGGATTGGTGATTACAGTACCAGAAGTCACGCATTTTTCCGCCGCCGGTCCGGGTATTTATTTCGGACATTTTCAATTTACAACCTTTTCGATTTATTAATTTAAAAAACACGTTGGAATATTTCACAATTTCAACATTTACTGCTTCACTAGATGTATAATTGATTAACTGATCGACACAGTTGATTAATACAACTATTTTACAGGTGAAGGAAGTGGCTCTCTGCACTTAGTTATTAGTGGTGTAACTTCAGAAGCATACATAGCTAATGATTCCGATGATGATGTTATTGAAGTTGTTCGAGATGAAGAAGCACCCATTGAAATACTATCAGATGGTGAAGAACTTGAACGTGAAAAGTCCAAGCTAGCCACTTCATCATATGAATTTCACTTCGCTGATTTGCCAATTGGCCCAGAAAACGCAACAGATGTTTTCGAAAATTCGAAAGACACGTTACAAGATCCGCTCACGAACTCTGCTATAGATCGCGAAACATCCATAAACGTAACGGATTGTAATAAGACTATTTCGCACGGTAAAAGTCCTGAACAAAAAAAAGATGAAGATTACAATGATAAAGAAGGTGATGATGTTAAGGGTAATAACACTTATATAAACGTTACAGACCCCGTATTAAACGATTACGATGAACAACCATCTAATCAAGAAAACACACAAACAAAACCACTTCTTTCAGATAATATTAGTTCTGACAATATTAACACTCCTAATGAAGGTTCTAATGATCATACGAATAAAAGTGAACCTCTATCTTAATGCCTTAAATTGTGTGTAAATGTTGCGTATAATAAATATTTAATAGCAGTATTTTTAAATAGTCATATTTTGAATAAAGATATCAAATTTATTTAAAAAAGCATTTTATTAATTATAGTAAACAAATTATAAATGTTTTATTTTTTCCACGCTCGATTATCTAGTTAGGAATCTTGTTTGTGTTAGGGTATTGTTAAGTAATAAATATTATTATGACAGTATAACTGGTTGTTTTTTCAGTGGGATTTCCATTCTTCCTTAATTAAATATGTGTTCATTTTACATAACTTTGCAGGTAATTTGCAATCTGAAGGGATGAATTGCATGCTTATTAAAAGCAGACGTGGAGCTACTATTCTCGTCCACAATGGCTTTAAATATCGTCAGGATTATTTCCACGGACCCAGAATTTCCTGGAGGTGTATAAGAAGACACAATGGGTGCAAAGCTTCTGTTGTAACAATAGACAAAGCTATTATACGCATGTCGGGAACACATTGCCACGAAGAAGAAGACAATAATTATTATTAAACTTTAAGTGAATTCAAGGAAAACACTGCGAGTGATTTAGTTTTAAATAAAATACTAAATAGTGGTATCTAAATTAATAGACTGACGAGTCAAGCTGCTTAAATTTAAATCATCATGATTATCATACAGCCTATCACAAGCCCATAGCTGAACATAGGCCTAACCGAGTTCCAGAGCCACCTGTATCCATGGAATCCCTGCATCACTTACCAGATCATTGCTTAATTTAGTAAGGAGCCGCCACACTTCGCTTACCGGTACAAAGCTGCCATTCCAGAACTTTACTTTCCGCTTCGGTTGTCGGTTCTTCGAGCTAAACGGCCGGCCCATTTCTACATCAGCTTACTTTTCGTTGGGTTATGTCGGTTACTCTGGCCCTACTGCTGATCTTCATTACGAAATCTATCATGCAGAAAAACTCGGAGCATTTTCTCTAGAAGAGACCGGCGTAGGTACGACCATCACCAATCTAGGACTAATTGACTCATCAAGTCAATTAGTCCTAGATAAATATACTCGTTAACAACTTCTAGGTTGTGCTAATAACAACTACGTAGATGTGACATGGACGTTACTCATGGCTTTTGCCTTGTCCATGTACATTTTAAGAACTATCCGTTGGAGACACTATTGAGGTCAATAAGCATAGTGCTAAGGTCCTCCAGCGATTCTGCCATAAGGAATATCGTCGACAAATCGGGAGTGAGTGATGTACTGCAACAGCTTCAAAACGTCTTCCAATGCAGTGGTGAAGAGTTTCAGGGATATAAGGTCACCCTGTCTTACATTTCAGTTGGATAGATTTCGTACTCTAGTTCTGTATTTAGATAGCAATCGTAGCCCCACTGTACACTTCTGTATTTCGATATACCGACAGTCGCCTAAGCAACGCCGCAGGGACTGTAGCATCGCCAAAATTTCTACGGAATCAAAGACTTTCTCATCTTTCAAATACGCAAAACAAAATGGCAGGTTGTACTCTTCGGTCTTCGGTACAATTTGCCGAAGGATATGTATGCCATAGCTGGGCATCTTTAAAGTAATAGTTAATCCGTTACTAAAAAAGTTAACTTCGTTAAATGTTAAAGCGTTATATTTCGGAAGATTTAACGCAAGTTAACGTTAATCGTTAATCCGTTAACACGTGTTTAAAATTGCATTTTTATATAGTTGCACTAATATCTACTTATAAAAACTGTTGGTTTGGGTTCTGGAAGTTAACGGATTAAAAACAAAAAAAGGCGTGTATAATTGGAGTGTGCAATTTAATCATCTGGCATAATGTGGATATTTTGCCCTTCATGCACATTAATGTTTTTTTTTACAAGATAAGGGTAACAAACGAGCACACAGTCCACCTGATAGTAAGTGGTTACTGTGGCCCATAGACATCTACATCTATCCTCGACTATGAATCAAAATTCAGATGCGTTGTCCCCCATGAAGACTAAAATAGAATGCCTCGTTTCCAGTAAAAGGGGTCTCCTGTTTTCTACACTCACCATACGAAACAGCAGCGTTAAGCTGCTATTTTACGCTGGTATTCTGTGAGAGCGTGGCCCTTTCCCGGTCGAGCAGACCCATTCGTGCTCCAACTACACTACTAATATAGCTGCAGCATGACTACCACGTATAAAATATTGAAGTTCTCGTCTGAAAGCGAGGCTCACTATGACGTTAAAATATCTTTGCCCATGGGAAAAAGATGTTCAACTGCAGCGCTTTTTCAACAGATTTATGAATATCTGTTCTCCGATTAATGCCGCATCGTTAAACGAGTCTTTTCATTTCATGTCTAGCCACATATCGACAAGATTTTGAGCTTTTCTCTTTAAAGATTTGTGGCTCTTAGGATTTTCTTTAGACTGAGTGACAGAATTGAAAAAGTCTTCTTTTCTCTTCATCGACATTGTTACTCGCGTTGCTGCTTCCGCCATTTAAACTATCTCTGCCCTTCGAAATTTCGGAAACTTCTTGTCGTAACGCCTCTTCTACCTTTTTTTTCCCATGCATTTTTTACTGTATCCACTCGTCATACGTTTCTAGCCTTATCAACCAGAACTTCGGGTGAAAAGCCGCGGAAAATTAGCACTGTTCGTCGGCCAGAAGTGGTCCAAACCTTTTCTCTATACGTATTTTACACGGCGGCAGCGGCATGGCGCGGCGCGGTACTTGATAAATATTGGGATTAACAATTAACGTAATTCAGGAAATTTAACGGAAGTTAACGAGTCCGTTAACATTTTTTAAAGTTAACTTAAAAGTTAATCCGTTAGTCGAAATGTTAACTTTGTTAATAAACGATTAACGGATTAACGAGTTAATGCCCAGCTAAGTATGTGGCCTATGGTATGTATGGGTGTCTGCGTTCGAGACGATTCGAAATGACTCTCAGAAACAGCTCGAAGACGCGCATTAAGGAAATCGGTATGTTGATCTTCAAAGTAGCGACTAACACAGCATTGTGAATTGCCATACGTGCCTTTTTGGACACATTCAGACTTTTCACAATAGAGTGTAGGGCCCCATTTACTATATTTCCTGCGTTCACTCGTCGTTCTATATCCTTATCATATCTACCAACCCTGCTAAATACACATCCCAAATACACAATGTCATCTACGAGGGGAGGTCAAAAAGTTCGGGGAATGAGAGAGAAGGATAATGAAATGAAAACATTAAAATATTTTTCCTTTTCAATGTATTCTCCCTTAACCTTAATAAATTTGTGACTACCGCCGCCCATGAACAACTGCAACACCAGTTGAACCAGGGGAATTGCAGATGCGTTGCCGGCCTTTTAAAAAGGAGTAGGCTCTTTTCTTGAAGGTCCCTAAGTCGTATCGGTCCGGAAAAATCGCTGATGGTAATCGATTCCACGAGGAAGTTGTGCGAGGAAGAAAACATCTTCTAAATCGCACAGTGGTGGACCGCCAATCATCCAAATGGTGTAGATGGTATTGGGAGTTCTGCCGCGATGTGCTTTCGTAAAATTTTGCGACTGGGATTAATCCGAACAATTCCTCAGAGCACATGTGAGCACAAATTACCGACTTCACTTCATCATCGTCGCCAAATTTTCTCCCACGCAGTTTTTTCTTCAATTCAATTCAATCTATTTGCTATTCTTGTTGTACATTTAGTCTTATATTTAAAAATTGTTCAAAACAAGAACCCTGCAAGGGCACTGCAAATATAGGCAATTATTAATATTATTATTACATTTACATTATAGTATTAATAAAATTATCATTTAATGAATATTTACAATTAACTTAAATATGAATGGGATCATATTATATTATTTATTTATTTCAATTTCCTATTTCCTACTCATTCACTAAAAAACTCCTGCAACGAGTAATAACATTTTTTCGTTAAATATGTATTAACTTCGTTTTTAAATTTTTAATGCTTCTGATTCGTTCTGAAATTTTGTTATATATTTTTATTGACATGGCATAGGGGCCGGTGTTCACGATTTGTAATTTTGATGTAACTGTGGATAATTTTATTTTTGGTTTTAAATTTTTAGGGCGAAAATATTGAGGGAACCAGTCGATATTATTTCTAACTAGTGAGCATATTTCGGATATATATAGGGATGTTAATGTCAGGATATTATAATTGATAAAGTAATTTCTACAACTTGTCATGGAGTCTATATTTGCAAGTATGCGAATACATTTTTTCTGAATTAGAAATATTCATTTTTGGAAACAAATAATAGTCGCTTGGGGCCAGGTCTGGGCTGTAGGGTGAGTGGCGCAGTTGTTCAAAACCGCACCGGTGAATGGCAGTCGTCGTGCCACTATGATCTTTCCCGCCGATTGAGACACCTTATCCCTCTTAGGAGGGGCTTTTTTATGGCACTGCATCAACTCTTGCTTTGACTCGGGTTCATAATGGGGAACCCAAGTTTTATCGCCAGTTACAATTCGGGCTATAACTTCCTCCCTTTGCTCTCCACAGCGGTCCAAAAACTCGCGACAACTTTCGACGCGCTCGCGTTTTTGATGCGCAAAAAGCATTCTCGGAACCCATCTTGCACAGACTTTAGTCATGCCAAGGTATATAAATATAGGATGTTTAAAATGGTTGTTTCTTATACTCCAACTAATGCTGCAAGCTGTTTTTTCTTTAGCCGGGCATCTTCCGATACAAGTTTTTCAACTTTTTCGATTATTTCTGGCGTGGTAGTCTCAATCGGCCGTCGCTCCCTTCTCTGAAAAGGGCGTGCCATTTATAAATTATGGTTTTCCCAGGAGTGGAGTCCTCATAAACAGCTGACATCTCTTGAAAAATGGTTTGACGTATCTTTCCTTGTCTGGTGAGAAACTTAATGAAGGCGCGATAATCAATTTTCTCCATAGTGGCCAGTTTCTTCCCGATTGACTTGTTTACTCGTTGATAAATCGGAAGCTAATGACCCGATTAGGCTGAAACTTGGTATATATACTAACAATGAGTCACTCAACTAGCGCCTACCTGGATGAGTAAATTCACCCTCGCCAACCCCGCCATTCCGCGAACTTTTTGACCTCCACTCGTACTTGCTCGACATTTCTATTATTATTTCACATATCGTTATACTTTCTTCTCTTTCAAAAACCATTACTTTCGACTTAACATAGGACGAAAGTATTATTATATATATTAACATAAGTCTTAACATAAGACGAAAGTTGTGTAAAAATAATAATGTGTAAACCAATTACTGCTAAGTGGATGGATACTTTTACATTGTTCTATCGCTTGTTGATTTTTCATTATTTAGACAAAATAGGAGTTGTGTATTGTATTTTAGCACCGAGCTTCGTCTGGACCTATGCACTGCTAGCTTTTTATACTTGTTTTTTTAGGTGACAAACAAGCATGCATCCCACCTGATGTTAAAGGATGCTGTGGCTCACAGACACCTATATCTATACTTCGCTCTGTCTATACTCAATTAAAAATCTAAATAAAGATGCATTGTCACCACAGAGGTCTAAAATGCCGCGTTGCTAAAAAGGGCCTTTATTTTCGTCACTCGACTTTACAAAACACAAGAGTATTAAGTAAGTTTCTTGTATTCTGTACGAATGTTGATAGACCCTAACCTGGCTCCAACACTTAGTCTGTTCTCATTGGCTGACCGTATTTTTACACCGCATGTTACACATATTATTATCCTTTTGAATATTCTCGTCTATTTAGGATGTATAAAATATGATAAAAACAATAGGGTATTATAACATACCCCAAGCTTGTCGGGCTCCATCTTCTACACTTGCTCCGAAGCGGACATGCATTACTGTTAAAGTTATTTTCACTACATTAAGTAATACTTAAATATCATGTTACATTGTATAAATATTGTTAATAGCTTTACCAATAGCAGACTAATTACGTTTTTATGTCGTCTTTGTTAATATCCAACGACCATAGAATTCTTACCTTTAGCTTTCCGAGTCCGACACTCAAACTGTTAGCACGTCGTTATAACTATTTATTGTAAATTGTAGCACGTTTATTAAAGCAAGTTTTGTAATATTCTTATAGTCTATCATTTCTTTATACCATATCATATACTTATAAAACATATAAAATATACTATTATTTTTTTATAGGAATGGGTGACAAACGAGCACACAGTCCACCTGATGGTAAGTGGTTGCTGTGGCCCATAGACATCTACATCTGTTCTCGTTTGCGAATCAAAATGCAATGCGTTGTCACCCGTGAGGACTAAGGTGGAATACCTCTTTTCCAGTAAAAAGGGTCTCCAGTTCTCTACATTCATCATACGAAACACAGCAGTGTTAAGCTGCTATTTAACGCTGGTATTCTGTGCGAGCGTGGTCCTTCCCCGGCCGAGCCGACCCATTCGTGCTACAACTATACTACTAATATAGCTGCAGCATGGCTCTACCACATACATAACATAGAAGAAAGTATAATATTTAATACAATATATTAAAATGAAATACATTATACATATATTCGTTAAGGTAATTATGATTAGATAATTATAATTGAATATTATGTATTATAATATTATTATTTTTAAGTAGTAAAATAATAGTTAGTACCTGTTAGGTTGTTGCTGGTATATATAAATAGATAATAATAAATAATATACTACAAATTAAAATATATACATTGAACTGAATATCTTATTTAAAATACAGTAAAATAAATAAATACAACCAACCAGGCGGAAGAATAGTGGCCCACGTCCCAGCTACGTCGCAGCCAAACTAAGTTTAGTTCTAGCCAAATTAGTTTGGCTGCGACGTACCTGGGACGTGAGTTTGATTCCGCCGAGACAAATGTTTTAATGGTTTATTGACTGTTCCGGGTCTAGATGCAATTTATAAAAGCCTCCTGTACATTATCCAACTGAACAAATCCTAATGTGGGGGTAACTTTTTTAGAAAGAGGTTCGAGCTTACAGTCGTAGCTAGGCTACCGTCCCGGACTTTCCGGGACGTCCAGCTTCTGGGTCAATTTTGGACCGTCCCGCCATAACCCTTTGCGGGACGCGTTTTGTCCCGGAAATCAGTGATTATATGATATTAGTATCTATCTCGTACCAACTACACCTTAGCCGTAGCTTCGATACCACTTTCAAATGCATCAGCAGAGAGAGTATTTTTTCTCTGTGGAAATGCATGGACAGACAGAAGAAATAAGCTGTTTGTTGGCCACGTCAAGACTGAACTACAAATTAACATTAATTTTGATAAAAAATGCGGTGAATTTTATAACCAATGTGTTTTTTTTTAACTAATTTGTATGTGGTGTGTTGTGTCCCGAGTAGTATACCCGAATGTCGAGCTGGGTAATCCCGGAAATGCCTTTTTTGGAGTTGGCGAGCCTAGTCGTGGCCTAATATGACTTACACAGGAATTATTATTGGCTATTTGGACAGCTAGTCCAGTGCCCAAAAGTTACATCGGGATGAGATTACATTTGCAGGATAAATAGAGGTGCTCTTCAAAACGGGTAATACACATCTGTCTCATTGTATACTGATCTTAGAAAATTATTTTTAAATCTTATATTCATTATTTCCGTTACTTGATAACCGTTATACCTTTTATAAATTTAATAGATGTTTTTGCTTCATTTTAAGTTGCTTATTTAAATGTCTTATGGTTTATTCTAAAATCGAGTTTCTCAATTCTTTTCTTCTTTTTTTTAAGTTTCGGATTCGGTCTAATAGGCTAAGCCAATTAGACGAATTCGTGGAACCCTCCAACACTCGACGAGTAGACGTGATTCGTGTGCATTGGATGGTTAGGCCATAAAAGGAGTGTCACCGCTTTCACCATCTTTCACGATCCGACCTATATCAAATCAGAATATTTTATTTTTAATAGCTTACCAATAATTAGTTTTTTACTATCCGCATAGTATAACACGTACAGAACAATACCTATAGAATAGACCTATAGAAAGATATCAATATATCTGATTACCTAACTGATTTTTTTTACGTGATTTAAATTTTTCCATCCCTGTATTTCCTTGTATACGATTTCTGAAAACCGAAAATAATAGAGCAATAACTAAACTGGTGATTTTAGATAATGTCGCTTCGATCGTAGAGCAAAATGGCAAAAACGTGCTTTTGATTGGATCCAATCGTTTCATGAAGCATTACACCGGTCGCGGCGACCGGACTCGCTGGCGTTGCTGCAAGTCCTTCAATAAATGCCGAGCCATCGCCATCACGTACCAGGATCGCATAATTAAGCTCAACAACAGTCATAACCACTGACATCGTTATTTTTGTTAATGTTACATTAATTGTGCAATCGAATAACATTGAATAGTCTCTCCGTCTTTTATGTTTGCGAATATTTACTTACATTTATATTTCTCACAGAGTAAAAGCTAGTCTTCATATGACTCACTGCTTGGCACAGGTATCTACCCACACCTAATTCTGAGAGGTAATGGAAAAGAAGAGCAGCGCTCGCATTAAGTAAGAATCAGACAAGATTCACAAGCTCGGAAAAAGGATTGTAGGTCAGACTGTTTTCACTATTACCCGCCGATGGTTGAGCCGGTGTCGGTTATATAATTAGTAAAAATTTAAAGAAGCAAAAAGGTTACACAGTTATTTAGCGCCTAGTATACCTAAAGTACGATGTGATATTTTTTTACGCCAACAATACACAGCATCGAACTAAAATAGTTTTGTTTCTAATCATCATCCTTTTTAAAATATTACCGCTAATTAAAAATAAAGCGAATTCATTGCGTGCTGGTTACTGTACAGCTTTCATTTTTTTGTATTCATTCATTCATTAAAGCCTACAGTCCACTGTTGAACATAGGGGAAGGCATACATATATATAGCTTACATCATAGGCGGGTATGTTTATATTGACCATAGAATATATTTACCGTAGTAGTCACATTTTGAGTTGTCATCAAGAAGATAATGCTGCTCATCTCCTGTTTTATTTCCTTATATCGCCTTTAACGACATTCACGGAACGATATGGGATAATATAATCTCTGAATCTGCCCCTACACGGTGATTTTTATGATAAACTATCGATTTTGAAAAAAATAATTTCGTGGCTTGGCGGTCATAAATAACACATTGCATTCCCTTTTTTTCATTGAGTTATTTCCAGTTGTTCAGCGGTTTTAGGAAGAGGCGATCCAGGTGGTCGCTCGTGGCATTTGGTGGGGAGTGTCAAGTGCCCTCACAAAGCTCTATCCCACAAATTAATCTGAAGTAATAGCCAATATACGTTCAATATACGGCTACATGTTTACTTAACATCAGAATTGATTGTAGTCATATACTGTAACTAAAAGTTATAATCCTACTAAGTAAAAGGGGGGAAGCAAATTTACCCACCCGGGATGGTCGTTGGCTAATGTCAACTCTGGATATATCATAGGGCCTAAAATATAGCATAGACGAGATAAGTATCTGAATTTATGTAGGTGTGACACTGCAATAGCCTATGCTCCAGATAAAAGGCTTTAGTACAGTACGTTGAAGGGGAGCCTTTGCCTAGCAGTGGGTTCATTATTATTTGAAGATTCTGATAGAATAATATAAGGAATCTCATTTGATTAAAGTTTTTCTTCTATAGGAAGTTATATAACTATTGTCTTATGTATGATACCATTTTTTTACAATTTGTTGTTTTAAAACTCGTTTGTTACACACATATATATTTTTAATACTTATATTAATACTCTCTACAATTTTTGTGATAAGGCCTGCTTGTTACACTAATAAATATTTTTTTAAAACATAGAGTCAACTTTTTTTTCCCTGGTACATTTGCCGTTCGGTGACGGCGTAAGGGATTCCATCACCCTATTTCGCCCCAAGGGTGTCGGAAGTAGGCTTACCAAATACTTCTGGTCGTCCCGCCGTAACCCCTTGCGGGACGCCTTTTGTCCCGGAAATCAGTGATTATATGATATTTGTATCTACCTCGTACCAACTACACCTTAGCCGTAGCTTCTATACCACTTTCAAATGCATCAGCAGAGAGAGTATTTTTTCTCTGTGGAAATGCATGGACAGACAGAAGAAATAAGCTGTTTGTAACTAATTTGTATGTGGTGTGTTGTGTCCCGCGTAATATACCCAAGTCCCGTATGTCGAGTTGGGTAATCCCGGAAATGCCTTATTTGGAGTTGGCGAGCCTAGTCGGAAGAGGCGACGATGCGGAATGATCCCATAGTTTCAAAGGTGCGAGATGTCTGGATCTGCGATCGCCTATCCGCCTGCCAAGCGTGACACTTAAAGGAAGGAAATAGGAGGATTTGCACATTACAACCCATGTCCAGCAGTGGACTTTTACTAGCTGGCGAAGAAGAAGTACGCTACAAACTGAAGGCTAGAATTTTAGTACTATTAAATGTGTAATGTGTACCAGCTTGTTTGAATATGTACCAGCAAAAGCAAGCGGATGACAAATTAGTATCTTATAGACTACGACAATAATTTACGGACCAATCGCGAAGTAATATTCGTCGCCCTACAGGCCTGTTCGCGTATTGAGACGTTTTATTTGTATTCCAACTAAGATAGTTTTAGAACATTTTGATTTATCATTCGAAAACCGAGTTTATTGTCAAGTTATTAAAGTTCACATTTGAATGATTTTCAATAATTTGAAATTCTTCCTGCTCCTCGATCACGCCATATTAAAGTGATAGTAACTTTGTTGTACCTACAATGCAGTATGTTTTAGGCGCAGTGATATCTCTTATATAAAAGCTATAAGCATAAGACGCAATGTATTACAAAGTTATAATCATTTTGATATCAATGTAGTTAGAGGATAGGATTGGGTTAAAGGTAGTTTAATTTGCTTTATTGTGGCTTTGGCTACAAAACCTTCAGTCGAAAAGATCTATGTCATAATAATGTGAATGAGACTAAATAAATTTAATAAATATCTACGCTATAGGCATATGCCATAGACCATTTGTTCACCTATTATACCCTATAGGTACCCGACGGCTCAGACCAACAACAATAGTGTATACATAAAGTGATGCCGAAGCCATGCTCAACTTCTGGACACACACTCACGCGCACACTTTTTTCTTTCTCTGTCACCTCATTATATGTTACTACTCACTCTTCTTGACACACATTTGCACCTAAAATCTTGTACGTAAGCGCGTGTTTATACAATAAGTTGAACATGGATTTCGCTTGGTTTTGCGTCACTTGAAATATACGTAGCGTTCCGTCTGATTCGGACGGAAACAGTTTTCATACTTCCACTATAAATGTGTGTATTGTGTTCTTTCAAGGAGACCTTGGTAGTTTCCATAAGTTTTTTTATAGACCAGAAGTACTCAAACATGAACATAGACAATCTACGCTCATGTTTAAGTACTAGGTATTCATGTTTTCTACTTCAAATTACATTTAACACTTCCAGTGCTTAAAGTTCCGCTCGATAAAATAAAATGATGAGTCTTACCTAGTTTGAGGAGCACCTCCCGCCTTCCCTCAATTGCGTGCACTATCACCGTCACCACTAATCCCAGCACCACTACTCCCAACACCACTACACTACGAAACTAAGAGACATAAAAGACTAAGAGACTTAGCGGTCAGCCACCGCAGAGTCTAGATTACCTGAAGATGCCTCGTGTAGAGGCGAAACACGTGTCGTATTGTCGTCAGTGGTGTGTCTTTCCTAGTATAGTGGTGTTGGGAGTAGTGGTTCTGTGATTAGTATATAGAGCGGATATACGCGAAGTAATTTTTTGCCAAATTTAATATAATTGACTTCCGTAAAGTAACGCCTGATTCTATTAATTACTTCCAGTGCTTAAAAACTTTAACGGTTTTTCTGGTAGCTTAACACGCAGATCGATTTTTCAATGAAACACTATGTTTCAATTTTGTAAGTACAAATATATGGAGGAAAATTTGAATTTGGAACTTCAGCATTTTTTTTATAAATTATTACTCACACAAAAAAATGTGCAATACTTTCTGCTTGGTCTAATAGTAGTTATTCAAAGGTGTAAACAAAATTTAATGACTACAAATTGTTTGATGGAAACAGATGGAAAGAAGAATGATTTCGTCTTTCAAGCGGTAAAATTTTCTCTCACAGTCGGTTAATAAAGAAGAATTCGCTTTTAACCCCACACTTTGTAGGCAGATGATTTGCAGTAGCTAATTCCAGACGTCTCGCACCTTTGATGCCGCTTCCCGTCGCCTAAGGTTTACACATAAACGGGATATATTTATACAGTTATATATAAGGGCTTCTTGCAGGGCAAGATGGGGAAATGTACTGATTTTAGTTATTAAAAAAAGGATTTTGATACAAGAAAAAACATTTTTGTAAAAATATCTTTATTAAAAACAAACTATTAATGTATAACCATTATGCAACATACGAAGATTGTAATTGTTCTTGTTCTGTTTATATTAAAGCTTATTTACGCATTCTATGCGTATGCAACACTTACAAGGCACAAACATCACATTATTCTTGTATATACTTATTAAATGTTATTAAAGATGATACTTATAATACTTTATACGTGGTACAGAGCCACGCTGCAGCTATATTATGGTTGTAGCACGTATATGGATCGGCTTGACCGGGGTAGGACCACGCTTTCACAGAATACTAGCATAAAATGGCAGCTTACTGCTGCTGTGTTTCGTATGATGAGTGTAGAGAACCGGAGACCCTTTTTACTGGAAACGGGGCATTCCATCTTAGTCGTATGGGGTGACAACGCATCTGCATTTTGATTCTTAATCGAGGATAAATGTAGATGTCTATGCACCACAGCACCCACTTACCATCAGGTGGACTCGTTGGTCACCCATATTCTATAAAAAAAAATTTCTTATAGGATAAGGGTGACAAACGAGCACACAGTCCACCTGATGGTAAGTGGTTGCTGCGGCCCATAGACATCTACATCTATCCTCGTTTGCGAATCAAAATGCAGATGCGTTGCCACCCGTGAGGACTAAGATGGAATGCCTCATTTCCAGTAAAAAGGGCCACCTGCACTCACCAAGCGAAACGCAGGGGTAAACCTCTACTTCACGCTGGTATTCTGTGAGGTCGTGGTACCACCCCGGTTCGAGCCGGCCCATCCGTGCGACAGCAAAAGCTGCCGCATGGCTCTACCACTGTTAAAAAATAAAACGATGGCATCGGACATCAGACCCTAAACATAGTGATATATTTTAGGAATGTATAAAAACGTTCTAAAGTGCATCCTATAAACGATTATCCTAAAATG